ATGATTCATAAGTTGTGTCAATGGAATAAGAAAATGGAAATGATAAATTGCTTTGAGGGTGGATTACTTCCACTTACTTCTTTTAGAATATTTTGCTAATTTCTTTTAGGTTTTGGATAATTTTATTGATCGAGAAGTAATCAAAATGTGCATAATTTGAAGGCACATCGGATAGACTAATTGATAAAATACACTTGCCTTTTATTTAATCCTAGAACTCAAAATTGCTCTAATTTCACTTTTTGAAGGAAATTTCCTTTGATCCTACGATTGAGGTTCATTTGGCATGAAAATCTTCTACATACATCCAAAGAATTGCTCAAAAACGAAATTTGAAAATTTCTCCATATCACGGAACCAATTAATCGGAAATTTTCCAAACAGCTTAAACTAATCAATTATCACGTTTCATTGAGTCGATTAATAATTTATTCCACTTCAAAATTTTCCATCCACATTCTTTAATGACCATCAGGTGTACTGTTGCTATTACTATTGTTATGTACAAAAACTTGCCTTTGCTTCTGTAATTTCATATCGCACGTATGCGAGGGATATTCATCAATAAGAAAAGAACGGAAACAATGTTTTTGTTTTTCACTTGCTACGCACATAAAACTCGAAATGAAATCGTAAAACAGAATTTTTTGAACTTTTCTTTCCTTCTAAGTATCATAAAATTTAATAAGTAAGAGTAATATGAAGCACATCAGCATCATATACGTAAGATTTTTTTTTTTTTGTTATAGTCATTAAAAACATAATCTAGTTTGTGTGCAGTTGATTGACTTTCTGTTATATTGTATGTGTGCTTGATATGAATGAGAGTCTTTACAATGCATATGATTGTTTAGGGGCTGTTCACTTATGACGTCCATCAAAAAAAAAACCTAATTTTTAAAAAAATCTCTGTCACAAAACTGTCGCAGATGTCATTACCCCCCCTTTGTGACGTCCAATCCAAGTCACAAAAATATATAATTTCCTGAATAAATTAATGGATGTCATAAATTTTCTGACCCCATTACCGCCCCTGTCACAATTTGTCACAATTTTTTTGACCCCCTCCCTTCCCTGTACATAAACGCACTTTTTGCTATAGCTGTTGAATTATTTTAGAATTTGAGCAACACAGAACCAAGATACTTTAAATGGGATAAATGTATATGTAATGGGCCACAAATGTCTAAAGCCTTAGAAAATTCTACGAGACAATTATACTTTCTATGTTAGTAATTCTCAAACTTTTTCGATTCGCGAAACACTAAATGCAATTCGGCTGTACACTAGATTCTCTTAACATTTGGTTTGGACTTCATTTTAATTAGTAAAGGAGTCTGGAGATGTGTGAAGAGTTTTGGAATATTCTCCAAAAATCGTCAGTAATTTTCATTTATCAAATGTTTTACAAGCTGTGAAACTCTCACAGCACACAGATTGAGAACCACTGCTTCTATTTTATTCTGATAATTTTGAAAGGAAATTAAGAAAGATTGGAGGCAGGATGTTGATGAAAATCGAGGCAGGTAAGAGGGGAGATTTTTTTTATTTCCTTTTCCGTTTGAATTCCAAATGATTGAGCAAGTCGAAGCACAACAAAGAAAACTTCAGTACGGAAGCATCAAAGTGAAAAACAACAAAACAGTTGTATTTCGAGGAGGTTTTTGCGTGGCAATCGAGAAAAGAGGAAGTAGAATGAGTTCAGTGCAGAACTATTTATAGCTTTATGAATATTATGATGGAGATGAAAATTATGTTATTATTAACATCCATACACGACAAATTTTCAGTGAACTTATTGTGAACAAAAATTATCAACATTATGCCGAAATTGATGAAACTATGAAAAATAAAAGAATTTTCCAAAAGTTTTCCATCCGATAAATTTTTCTCTCACTGAAAAAATCTGTGTCAGGTTAATTGAGCTATAAAATTTTGTGCTTCAATGCCTTCTTTTCATTCATTCATTAATTTTATTTTCAACTTTCTTCCCTCGAGCATTTTTGCTCTCTCTATGTTATGGAAAAATTATTATAAAGCCCGAGTGACAGCAATTAAAAATTGTCAGTCGTTAAACTTTTGTCGAAAAGCTCGTTTCGTGATCTAAAATTTTTTTTTCCATTGTAGGGAATGAAAATTATGACATCAATTTTTTTTCCTTTCTTCTTTTCATGAAATCTCAGCGATGAAATTTCTTATGTTAATTCCTTTAATGATTATGAGTTGACATTGATGAAATCGTCATGTGATTTAACGATAATACCTGATAATACAAGAACTTTTGAAGAATGTCTTAGGGATTATTTATCAGAAACGTCTACCTCTTTAAACGTGGATCAAAAGGGACTAGGCTCAAGTTTAGTGTGATCTAAAATTCCTATTCAATCAGAACAATAAGTTAAGTGCCTTGCTGGTCGAATAGGTAAGGCGCTTGGCGCAAATTTGGGATGGTAACTCGAAGGTCGTCGGTTCGAATCCAGCCATTTCCCAAATTTGTTCTTTTTCGGAAGTTTAGATACTTCGACTGCTTAATGTAGGAGATCAAGCCATAATTGGGCATTTGGGCAACGTTGGATTAAGGAACGGGTCAGGAACTTGAAGTGTAGCGGGAGAAATAGGAACGAGAGCTACAAGATTACCCACGAATGGAATATTGTTAGAACGGACTTGAAAAGTATCACGTCACGCCTACAGAAGATCGAAACGAGAGCCTTAGTTTATTTGAAACCTAGATATGAAGATTAGAACTTTGATCCTACATAATACTAATTCATATGTATGCAAATACAAAAGTGTAAAATGTGAATTATATATAGTATGTCGTAAATAAATGCAATAAAGTGCAATTAAAATGAAAAAAAAAATCATAGAATGCTTACATCATCCTTATAAAAGTCTTTAAATTTTATCACTATTCTCATTTAATCATTACTATTATAATTGTGTACTCATTTGAGCATGCTTAGTATGCTAATAGTTTATATAAGAGTGACGAAGTGGTAATAGGTTCGAAACCAGGTAAGATCAAAATTTACAAAGTTTCATTTTCATAATATTATTTATGAACAAAATTTATTCTTGAATTATTATTAAACCTTAGCTAATAAATTTTTGAGCATACTCAATGAGAATGTGGCTTAAGACCTAAACTTAAATCATGTTCTCAAAAAGGATCTTATAGTTTGCTCAAGCAAGAACATTTTATGTGTTATGACCCGTGAAACATTTTATATATTTATTCGAGCATGGTCATTCGGTAATGTTTACATGATTCTTTGAAAATATGTAGTGTACTTATATAGGTCTAGCTTAAAAAGTAAACTTGCCTTAAGCTCACTGTCTGTTACAGCTATTTGTTAATATTAAATAGGGTATCGAAGGATTTCCGTTAAGCAATATTATAAGTCCATAGAGTCGAGTTTCCTAAGGGGCTGTTCACTTATTACGTAACGCGAAAAAATGACTTCTTAGACCCCCCCCCTCGTAACAAAATTTGTATGAAAAAAAAATTTCCTTGTTCGAACCGTAACAAAATCTTAGACCCCCCCCCTCCCCCTAAAAGCGTTACGTAATAAGTGAATGGCCCCTAAATGAAACACTTAATTAATGAATAAATCCATTCCCCGAAAGAACTTTTACTTTTTGGTTGTTTTTCTTTGTTCACCTTTGACATAAATATTATCTGTTCCATTAAATTTGAACATTGAAAATCTTCTTTTTGAAAAGCCTAAAGCATTCTCTAGCTTAAAATTTGTCGTTAAAAATTTGATGACATTAAAATTCTCAGACTTACACCAAACATCGAAAAATGACAATAACAATAAAGCAAATTCAAACCATTACTAAAACTATAATGAAGAAACAAAAGTTTTTGTTATTTTTAAAGTTTTATATTCCTTTTTCGGTTATTAATGCTACATTCATTTTGAGCTTCATAGTTCCTTTCACATTTCATTTTCGTTTTGACTTTTCCACTTTTTTTCCGAGTATGAGTGTATAAAATGCCATTAACATAATCGCTTTCTTGCGGTCGATTGAGATATTTAAAATCCCCTCCAAAAAAATCCCCCACACCACTTTGTTCTTCATTTTCATATTTAAAGTTAAAACCCCTTCTTATTTTCGGGTTATGTCTTTCGAAGCACATAAAATAGGATTTTTATGTTATTTCAAAATAAAAATGAAAAGAAAGAAGCTTGAAGGAGGAAGAAAGAAATTTTTTTTTTCCTTGTTGAATCAATAATTTTTATTTTATAGTTTCTCTTTTGTTCATTGATGGGCCCTGAAAATGAAGAATGGGTTTGAATGCGCGAAAAGAATTTCTTTTTTTTTATGATTATATTTCTTTTGCTGTTCGGTATCAAGGCGTAGAAGTTAATCGATCTTGTTAAACTTGTATTTTGAATTTAAATTCAATTTTAAGGTTAATCGTTTTAAGCCGCAGTTAGATCTTACTTACTAATGAAATTTGTAAATTTAGATGACAATTTAAATTCAAAAATAAGGCTTTCCTCCTTAATTTAGAGACGCGTTTGATAGATACTTTATATATACTTAATTATCAAGATTTTATGTAGCTATGGATTTAAAAAAAATTATTCTTCGAATATGTTCAACACCCCCCCCCCCCCCCTCTGTCCCACCCCACATATTAAATAATGAACTTAATAAAACGACTGTCTCAAAAGACTTGAAACATTTGACAATTCAATAGCAAAAAGAGCGGGTAAACCTTGTAGAATATATAATGTTGCTTCTTTCTGTTCTGCTCTCCACGATCAGCACCCCCAACCATCTTTCATATTTATATTCAGTTCTGTGTAGATTTCTATCTATACACAAATGTATGACTGATATTCAGATATTGCTCGCGCGCGGCTGAATAAATTTTCCAATTTTAATCATAAGCAAGAAAATGAATGAATGTAAAAAAATGTCGATGATAAATGTCTGACAATAAATCAAAAAATTGGAAGAGAAGAAAAGTTTCTTTTACTTACCAAAATGTTGCCGTTGCTAGCTTTGTTGGTTGAATTTTATTTTATTTTTTTTATTTTATTTTACTTTTCTTTTAGCTTTGAAGAAGAAAGAAAAGAGCGAAGAAAGGAGGAAAGAAATCAAATTTTTTTTTTGGTATATTCTTCTTATTCCTTTAGATATGAAGGAAGAAAAGAAAATTTGTGTAAAGAAGTAACAGCCAAAAAAATATGAATTGCCTCGACTTGATGATGTTAGGTATGTATGAAGAATTTTGTGTGTATTTAGAGCCGCTTTGAGAGCCTGAGAGTAAGCAGCAAAGGTTTGCTTATTATGCTCAATTAATGATTTAGATCGCGAAGGATTATCCAATCATAATTCATCGTGATGGTCCGTACGTACGATAGATGGATGGATGGACAATTTATGCTGTTTTTACTGAGCAAATTTTTTTTTTATATAAATGCACACACAAACACTCACACACAGAGACAGAAACAAATGTGAAATGTTGAGGAAGAAGAAAATTCCCTTCCTTCCTTTCTTTTTTTTTTTGACTATGTTATATGAAGAATAATCACAACGGTGGTGTTGTGGCGTTTCAGATGGTGGAGGAGATGTAGATGGATGGAGGAAAAAATTTAATAAATTTCCTTCTTCTTTTTGTTTTTATTTCTATCGCCTCTTTCCCTTCAATGCTCTCGACTGCTCTGTGTGCTCTTTTTGCCTTTATTTTCTGCTATGCTCTTTATGATATCAGGATGTGTCGTTCACATTTCACATCTACGGCACCACACAAAAAATTTATATATATATATATAAGAATTGATAAATTTCCTCGGACACACCTAAACACCAAAAAAAAAACTTCCTCGATGACTTTTAATTTTTTTTGCTCCTTTGATATTTTTAAGGGCTGTCATATATAATATGCCACTTTCTGTATTCCTTTCTGTCTGTTTCTCCACAAAAATTAATTTATTTCGATTTTCACATTTCGCGCTTTTCACTTTCACAGCTCGAAAAAATAACATTAAAATTGAGGGTGGTAAAAATGAATTCACTGCCTTACTTTCTCATCCAAACAATTATTGGAAATTAAAAAAAATTCTTCATTTTTCATTTCCATTCATAACTTTTTTAAATTAATTTCTTTTGCAACATAACAATTTTTCTTTTGATTCTTTTTTTAAATTTCCGTTAAACTTAAATTTTTAAACTTTTCTCCATTTGAAAATTTAAATTTTGTTACGTTAAAGTGTCTTTCACAGTTTTTTGATTTTCAGATTATTTTTTTTTAAAAAAAATAAGTTGATAAAAAATGAACTTTTAAAGTTTTGTGAAACTGTCTCTAATAAATCTCTGCGTTTTGTGTCTCTTCTTATTTATGCACAAATGTCCTTTAATATTTGTTATTTTTTTTTTCTTTAAGATCTAATAAAGTAATAAATATTCTGCTGTGTCTTGATTTTCGCGTTGCCACACAGTCAGGACTTATGTTAAACTAAAATGGGAAAAATATAACACACCGCTCGAGCGTTGTTGAAAAAAAAAATTGGAAAGAATATAAGAATTATATGCCCCCGAAAAAAATGTGAAATTTTTCTCAATTTTTCACAAAAAAAAACTGGTCTCTCTCACCAACAACAGAATAACAGCCCAAGTCCACATACACACCACCACACATACAGAACAGCAGCTAAACACTTTTTTTTCAACAGAGAAAAAAAATGAAAAAAAAAAGTGGAAAAGAAATATTTTTTTCGGGTTTAGAGAAAAAAAATCATATAGAAAAAAATTTGTGTAAAATTTGATATAACAAAATTGTGTGTAGTGGGTGAAGTTTCTTCACCCTACACATAAATTTCCTCTCTATATTCTCTCTTAAATTTATATTATTATATTTTTTTCTCGAAATGAGAGAGCGAGAATTGAAATGAAAAGAACAGAATCCTTACATATGAAACACCCACACATAAATACTTGCAGACGTCCGAAAATTTTTATAAAAAGCCGATTTTGAGGACTCGTTTACCATTTTTGGCACCGGCAATCTACAATACACTATATCATATTCTTTTGTGTGACTCTCTCTTTTGAAAGTTTGAAATGCAAATATTATTTTAATGTTTTCTGAAGTTTTGGCTCTATTTAATCTAATTTTTGTTTAACTGTAAAATTGTCTATTCGTAATTTTATTCAGAGCTTGGGCATCAAGGAGGATAAGGATTTTGCTGTTTTAAAGTTCACTTATTACGTTCGCATTTTAGGGGGAGGGGGGTTGAAAAATTGTAACAAAATGTAACATAGGGGGGGGGGGTGTCAAGAAGTATGTAACGTTCAAACTGTCGTCTGTCTTTTAAAAAAAAATTGACGAAAAAAATTTGTTAACAAATTCACACCAAAAACATTTTTTTAAATTTTCCACCTTTTTAATGATAAAATAAATTATGAACGTTCAGGGGGGGGGGGGGGTTGTGAGTTGTAACATATTGTAACAAGGGGGGGGGGGTGGAAAAAAGTCGTTTTTTTGCGTAATGTAATAAGTGAACGGCCCCTAATTGTGTTCATTAGTAATCTTTAATATGAAAGTTTAAAAATTTTGATTTTACCTGGATTCGTACCCAATGCCGCATCGTCGATATAAAAACCATCACTGCTAAAATTACACCAATTCTGAATTTTGTGTGTAAAATACATTTTGGCTAATATCATACAAGCTAATATTAGATGCCTCATATTCTACACTTCTTTATACAATTTCGAAGTTGATTATCTTAATAATAATAATGCGTGAAGGGTCCAGCCTTTCAGCTGGAGGCACTGCGATTCAAATTAGAACAGAATCTATTGTACCACACTCTTTAGACCTACAGTTTATAGTGGAATCCGAACCACTTGCAAGCTCTGCATATTGCAAAGACACGAGTACGTCATAAGACCTGATGTACCCTGCAATGTACCTAGTAACAGTTCGTGTTCGCAAGATGCCGTAAGGAAGTCATCCAGATGCTAGTATATTCTTGCATACCTAGCAAAGGAGGCATATTCTGTGCCAAAGACCTCAAAACTACAGCCAAAACACGAACCGAGCTTCGTAACTAGAACGGTGAAATGGAAAAAGAGCTTCAAAATTAGACATGGCCTGGGATTGAACCCAGAACCTTTGGCACAGAAGGCCAACCCTCTACCACTTAGGCCACTGATGCCATTTCACCGCTAGTTGATTATCTTAAGCAGTTGTATAAAACGAGAGCTCCTGTATTAAAAATAAAGCTAATAATGTTGTGAAATAATACTTTAGTCGTTTTAAAAGATAAACCAGATAAACTTGATTTTTTAAACACCTGTATTGCGCAACCTTACGCTATATGACTTACAAAAACTAATCATAAGGCGGGAACCTAAGATAACACGATCAAAAGGTTTTAGTTTCATTAGGGGACTAAGCTTTAATATGAGCACGACAATTAGTACACTTAGGCATTCACGATTTACCGGTCCCGCAAAATGATCGGGAACGGGACAAAAATTTACACTCAAATATCAAGCATGCTCCTCGAAATTTTTAAGATTTTTTCACGGGAAATTGTGAAAACCTAAGAACAATATTAAGGAATAAAATCAAGAAAATTTTATGTGACACCACTGACGGATAAATCTATAAACTTTTAAGGATTTTTTTTAATATCGAAATATTTGATTGTTTGGGTTTCTCCTCATCATCTCCTCACACATTGCACTGCATACACATTTTCACATTTTTTTCTACCACCTGCGCATGTTTCATTTTTTAAAAAAAAAAAGCAAGTTCGTCTACAACAATAAACACGAATGATGTATATTCTTTCTTCCTTTCTGTTGTGCATTTTAATTTTCACTTTCATTTGAGTGAAAGTTGTACGACTGAGAGGAGGTCACGAGTGACTAGGCGGAAACGTAAATACTTTTTCAGAAGAATCTGTCATGAATTGATCGAGAAACAATTAAAAGATTTTATTTTAATTTCTTTTTAATATACGGTGACTCATACATTTTTATTTATTCAATTTCTGTCGTTTTTTTCATGAAATTGTAGTTCCATCTGCCAAAACTTGAACACAGAATCACGGAAACAAAATCATTCAAAGGCTACGAGACATTTTCAATTTCTAATATATAATTTTGAATTTTTTTATGTTGTAGATTAATTGTTTTGCTTATTATCAGCCAAAGCCTATTTTTTTATTTGGTCGCACATTACTTTTATCTAACTGCATCTGCATACATACGTCAATAACCAAGCAATTAAAAAAAAATCTTATTTTTGTTGTTTTTATAATGAACAGAATATAATATACAACATAATCATTAATAATTGAACATAATTAACTTAAATGAAGAATTTACAAATAAAAAATTAACAAAACGGAATAAAGAGCATAAATATTACAGCATTTAAATCCTCTTCAAACAAAAAACTAAAGAGTGCGAGAAGATGATACATTTTCTTTTTTTTAAACTTGCACACCAAATGCCTGTTTTGTTCCTAGTATATGATTAAGTTTTTGTTGATAGATTGTAAGCAAATTTTCGCCATTTTCATTAGTTCGTCCTTGACAAATAAGTTTAAAGGCTTGCAAATACTAAAAGCAAATAAAGTCGTGATTATTTTATGAATATCGATAAATAAATCTCATTTATACCTGAAGCTCACTATAATTAGGCCCTTTCTCATTTATATCTTTAATGATTTCATCCGGTTCCTTATATAACATTTCATAATATTTTCGTGCATGATCCAATTGATGCTCGCGTTGAGCTGTAATAGAACTTAATGTTTGCTGCAATGCTAAACTATTCCTTATCATTTGCTGGATCGCATGACTTTCTAGCGATTCCAGTGAATTAGATGTCATAATGAGTATTCGAGCTACCAAATGAGCTAACCCTTCAAAAATGTACTGCAAAAGAATTTTTAAATTTGTTAAAATTTTAAATCACTTAGTCCAAACTTAGACAAACCTTTGTTTTGCGTGGATGTAGAGTGGATGAAAATGCCTCATCGAGATCTGATAAGACTTTAGTGAGTTTCAGTACTTTGGTATCAGGCTCAAGAGTATCATTCTTATTAGGATTATTGTCTTTAAATTTATCAGATGAATTTGATCGCAAATAGTGGAAGCATTGAACGCGAACCTATAATTTTTGAGATAATTAAAGCTACATCTAATTAAATTTAATTTTTTTAAAGAATTACCTCCAAATGAAGCACCAGTAAGCAAATATTAGCAAGCTCATCAAACTCTAATGCCAAATTTGTTAGAACCTTAATAGTACCGTCCTTAATGACAATCGGCTGTGTCAATTCTGCAGGTAAAGTAGATAAGTTTGCACCTTTTGATACACAAGTAATTGGTTTCTTTAAATCAGTTGCAAATTCGTTGATGCGATATGCAAACCATTCCATGCTTTCTTGTAATATTGCCAACTCCTTTAAAACTCCTATATCACTTAAAATCTCATGATGTGAAATTCCACCATCACCTAAATTGCTGGTTAGCATCTCTGCTTCACGAACATTACGCTGTTGAATTTGTGTTGGACTGTCATCTTCTGACATTTCAGTTTTCAGCCTTCCGCGTTTTGCCTTCGCATTAGCTGTCTTTAAATCGAGATAATTTGGTAGAGTTTTTAAGAATCTACTTATATCTTCATCTTTCAACCACGTCACACTGTATATCCTCTTATCCTCAGTTTCCGGTTGAACAATTCCACGATATGCAGCTTGACACGTTTCGCGATAAGTTTTCAATAACGAACAAACATTTTTCAGTAAATCTTCATGATATAATGGTAAGTCCTGAATAAGCTGTTTTGTCTCAACAATTAAATTTTCAACAACTCGGCACGATTGAAGCAATGGTCGATTTAATCCTAATTTCTTCATTTCTTCGGGCGTTATGATTGCTTTCCATGCATCTTGAGACTTTGATAATGATTCAATTGTCATGGACAAATTTCGATTATGTCCTCGCGAAAGATAAGACTCTTTAACATATGTTGTAAGGAAATCATGAAGACTCGACACTTGTCCATTTTTCTTCATATTTGCATTACTCTCGATTGTATGGATGTATGCTAACATTGGAATGAAAATCTTTCTTATTAAAGACGGATCTGGTCTACATACAAAAAGTTTTTCACGCCTTTTCTTACTGCTTATTGAAGTGATAATGTCTTTTGCAGACGATGTCGAAACATTTGATAAATTCCTTAAATGTCCTCGATGCTCTACGTCGAGTAAATTAGAATTGACAACATCTGTTGTATGTGAGGATTTATCAAAACGAAATAATGTCTTTTTAGATGTATTCTTTCGTCGACTAAAGAATGTATTGATATTTACTTGCTGCTCTGGAAAGCTTATTCTTATTTCGTCATCGCCAGTATTTTGAATGTCAAGATAATCAGTCAAAAGAAGCTGAAGAACGGCTTGCACTTGTCCCCAAAAATCAGTAAGGTCGTATGATTTAACATTTAATTGATAACGTTTTATGACATTGCCATAATTCTTTAATGTTAGCTGATGTGCGACAGCAATCAATTGGAATTGTTTAAAAAGAAGATCAAGTAATTCTAAGAAAGGAACATCAATCAAGTTAAATTCTCCATTTTCAACTATTGACTTTGGTCCTAAAACATTACGTTGTCGCATATCAATAATGTATGAAGTTGTCTTTTCAACTATCGCTAGTAATTCAAATTGCATCTGAACTTTCATTGTTTCAACAGATTCAGGCACTTTGTTTAACAATGCAAAACATTCAACAATTATACCAATAAAATAAGTGGAATTAATGTCAGGATCAAGCAATGTAATGTCGTCTATTATCTCTAAATCATGTTCAACATATCCATTCTGTGAAATTTCTTGCAATGCTTTTTTTGCTTTTGTGTTTGCTTCAATTCTATCAGCTGATTTTCTTACTGTCGTTCTTTGAAACGGCGACTGAATATGATTAGAACTGATACGAGCTGAATTGTTACGTTGAAAATTTGATAAAACTTCTGTCGTGCTCGAGTGGTAAATGTGTTTATTCATTTCCTCAACAAGTCTTGTGTACAAGTGAACTTTTTTATTAAGGAAGTCTTGACGTAATTCATCTAGACCTTCGACCGCTTTCAACTGTTTCTCTGATATTTCTATAGCATTCATTAGCCTAAAACGATTGGAACAAATTAGTTGACTATACTATACAGAGGAACTACGGTTCTTACATTTTTGTAGCCTTCAAGTAATGTTTCTTTTGCAAGGTAGAAGCGAATTTTGTTGAATTAACATTCCTAAGTTCATTGATATGATCTAAATACTGCATAACATTCTTATTTTTCACAGCATCAGTATAGAGCTTCTTCAGTTCCTCTCGACGACACCTCAGCAATTGCTTACATGTTTGGAGATTTTCTCTTACTGTGCGAATTTTTTCTCGCGAAAAATCCACTTCTCCTGATATTTTTGAAAATAATTGCATAGTCTGGAATGAGATACATTTGATTGATAAGATACAGTAAGCAAATATATAATACTTACTTTAGTTAACTCTGAATCATGTTGGGAAACCAGCTCTGCTAATCTCTTATCTGACTTTTTATATTCCTTTTCTATTTTTAGCTTTTCTCTTTCTCGTTCCTCATTATTTTCACTAGCATCTAACGTTTTTATCACTGACATTAAAAGATTACTGGATGAAGATGTTGAATACTAAATGTAATAAAAATTGATAATTTTTTACACCCACTGTAACATTAAAATTCAATTTTCTGAGTATTTACCGTTTCCCGAGAGTACTTTCCTCTTGGAGGTTTACGAGGAGTCGGTGACATTTGTTCTGGATAGCGCTGCATTTTAAAAGACTAACTTATTACAGGAGAAAGAATAGTAAAATTATATTTTCAAAAATTTCTTCATTCAAAACAATTTAGAAGTGTTTTTGTCAGTCAGTCATTGGAAATCCTATTGAAAAAATTTAAAAAATTCAATGCCGTTAAGCTTATCACAATTTTTGTTTTTTCTAACGGATTTTCAGATTTTTTCTCACATAAATCTAGAGAAATCATGTAATTCCTTCCTTCTTCGTAGGAAACAACGAAATCACCAAAAATAATTTGTCAGCTAATTTAAAAAACAAAAAATATTGATGTCAATGGTCCATAATGCTTCTCATCCTATGTAAAATCAAACTAGTGTATCGGGTAAAACCCAATGCGGATATATTTACACCGTACCATCAAAACTCTTATGGAAAGAGAATCTGTTGTATAGGATAGACAGAATAATTCTGCAGAATTCTGCTCAACAGTTGCGCAACAATTCTGAGGAATTATTCTGATTATTATAATGAAAATGACTTCTTAGACCCCCCCCCCTCGTAACAAAATTTGTATGAAAAAAAAATTTCCTTGTTTGAATCGTAACAAAATCTTAGACCCCCCCCTCCCCCTAAAAGCGTTACGTAATAAGTGAATGGCCCCTTAGTTCTTGCACAATTACAAATTAATATGGAAATTAAAATAGGAGTACAACATTTTTCAGTAATTTCACTAAGTTTGAAACAAAATTGATGAAGAATTGCTTTTGACTTTGCCAAATATTTTCCTTTTGCTTCTCTGGTTTGAGGCCTTGAATAGTTCGATATAATTATTTATTATTGAAACTTTAATCAAAGATTATATACAAAAGCGTATAAAATTTTCGAATGTTAAATTTTTAAGATCGAATTCGACACGATTATTTTTTAAAAGAAAAATATTAAAGAGTTGCAAAATATTAGCTTTTTAAGAAAAGTTGGTGTGAAATTATGGCTCTCGGGTTCGAACCCCACCACCAGCCTCGTGATTTTTCAGCAGTTTAAGACGTAAAACTAAGAATTAGGCGATGTGAGATCACGGAACGGGTCAAGAATTATGTAGACAGAATGAGAAAGATACGAGAGCCGTAAATTCACCATGGAGGGCCTTTACTGGAACGGACCTGCAGATGGAACGAAAGCCGACATGAAAACTAGTTCTAAGATCAATAATCAGTTTTTAATTGGCTAGATAGATATAATGTAATGTAGGGTTTTGCTTAGAGCAAAAACGGCACTGCGATCGATGATCTGTTGTACCATCCCAAGCCATCTATGATAAAATTCCTATATCCTTGATGAAGCCAATAATGTCCTGATAGTGCTGTCTACTAATATCCTCATCATTTATATAATTCTTATCAAAGTGGTTGGCACGTTGTACTCATAATGAACTGTTGAATATTGTAAACCAAAACTGTAAGTATTAGGTCAATAACGAGTATAAACATGTTAATGCACGATTGTCAGTTTAATAGCTTACACCGAATACTTAGTAATAAAAAGATGATCAATTTATGTTTAATAGCTTGACAGAAGTCATAAAATAATTCATATGATTTATGATAGTCAAATAGTTGATGAAACTGTATGTAACATTCATGTAATTTTTGATATAAATAGAGCAGACAAATTTGAAATAAAGCTAGTTATAATTCAGACTCCAAACATTGAGTGAAGTATTCTTCTGTTTCAGTAGTATTTAGCTGTGTAGTCTATACTGCAAAAGAAGATTTATTTCGTCAGAAAAGAGCATATAACTCGAATAAAGGAAACTGATTGAGAATCAACATGAAAGAACAACAGGTTATGGGCCCAGAACGAAGCAGCTCTGTTTCAACATCTGAGAAATCAATTTTTCATATCGAAAAATTGAATAATACTAACTATTTATCATGGAGGTTCAAGATGATGATGCTTCTTCAAAAGGAAGATTGTTATGACTCAATCGAGTTGAGAAATGATGCAGATTTGGCAGATGATGTCTTAAAGAAAGATAAGAAGGCACTTCAATGGATTGCTTTGTCCGTTGAAAATAATCAACTGATCCATGTCAAGAAAGCCACTGGTGGAAGAGATGCTTGGAAAAAATTGCAAGAATATCACCAACGCTCAAGCTTATCCAATCAAATTAGAATTAAGAAAAGATTGCATAAGTATGAGCTAAAAAAGGGAGAACCTATACGAGATCATCTTGACAAAATATTTCAAGATCTTGATGAATTATCTGAAATGGATGCTGCTTTAGATGATAAATCAGCTATTCACATCATATTGTCTAGCCTCAATGAAGACTATGATGCGTTGATAACTGCTTTAGAAGCATGGGAAGAGAGCAAGCTAACTTTGCAAACAATTAAGATGAAGCTGATTGAAGAATATGATAGAAAATCATCAGCTAATACAAAAAGAGATGCCCAATACTGGTCAGCTAAACGCGCTGAAGATGCTGAATGCTATTTTTGCAAAGAAAAGGGTCATATTAGACCACAATGTAAAAAATTCATTGAATGGAAAAATAAAAATGGATTGGCTAAGTTAGTCAAGTCCAATCAATGGTACAGAGTTGTTTCTGATAATCTTCAGGATTGGTGTATCGATTCCGGAGCTACAAAACATATATGTAGTCAAAGAGATATGTTTTCAGATTTCAATAAATTAAATGGAAGTGTAAAAATAGCAAATGGAAAAAGCGTAAAAGTTGAAGGTGAAGGAAAGGTTACACTAAAACTCAAAGTATTTGATGGAAGGAAAAATCAAATAATAGATGTAACACTAAACGAAGTTTTGTACATACCTGAGATGGATGGAAATTTAGTGTCAGTTAGAAAACTGACAGAAAAGGGATTTAAAGTTGAATTTACAGAAGAAGAGTGTATACTCAAAAGAGGAAATTATTGTATTTCTGTTGCTAAATGGAAAAATGGACTTTACCATTTAGAAGAAATTAATTTGTGTTATAAAATTAAGGAGGAGAAAGAGTCATGTATTCATGAATGGCACAAAATTTTATGTCACCGCAATTTAGCCGACATTAAACGTATGAAGTCTAAAGGTTTAAGTATAAGCGAATGCGAATGTAGTGACAATTGTGAAGAATGCATCAAAGGAAAATTAACACGGAAAAGCTTTCCAAAAAAGGCAAAAGAAATTGAAGAAGTTTTAGACTGTCTTGTGAGTGATGTTTGTGGTCCAATGCAGGTTAGATCTATTGGAAAAGCAAGATATTTTGCAACATTTATAGATGTTAAAAGTGGATACACAGAAGTTGTTTTTCTTAAAAGCAAAGATGAAGTTACAACAAAACTAATTGAATACATTGAAAAACTTAAAACGCAGTATGGTAAAAAACCCAAGATTGTGAGAACAGATAGGGGAAAAGAATATATCAATAATATTCTTCAAAGCTATTTGAAAAAGGAAGGAATTTCATATCAATGTACCGTTGGATATGCACCTGAACAAAATGGTGTAGCAGAAAGAAAAAATCGAACATTGATGGAAGCTGCGAGAACAATGTTACAAGATGCTCATTTACCAAAAAATTTTTGGGCAGAAGCAATCAGCACAGCTAGTTATGTTTTAAATAGAGTTGTGAGCAACTACAAAAATGTGTCGCCTTATGAATGCTTTACTGGTAAGAAACCAAATTATAGTGAATTTCATCAATTTGGATGTGAAGTTTTTGTAAAAATACCAGACGCTAAGCGAAGGAAATTAGATTTGAAGGCGGAAAAAATGAAGTTTATTGGATATGACGAAGAATCAAAGGGATTCAGAGTTGTTAATAAGAATTATGTTGTTACAATTAGTAGAGATGTTGTGTTCCTAAAAAAAGTGGGGAAGACGCAAGAATATGTAACTGTTGAATCGAGTGATAATCATGACAAGAATAACGATAGTGAAATGAAAAATTGTGATGATATCAATGAAGGAAATAATGAAGATATTGAAGAAGAAAATGAGATGAGTATTCAAGATTATTTTGATGCTACAAGCATTATAGAAGAAGAAACTGAAAGGAATACTGATAACTCATATGATGAAGAGAATACTTTGATCCCGAACGAGGTTCAGGAGGAGAAAAATGATAACTTAAGAAGATCGACAAGAGTTAATGCTGGAGTGACACCAAAAAGATATGGATTTGATGATCATGTAGCAAACAAGTGTGATGTTTATGAGATAAAAGAGCCAACAAGTTTTAATGAAGTGTGTATTCTTCCAGAAAAAGACTTTTGGGTTAAAGCAATGCAGGAAGAGTTACAAGCCATAAATGAAAATGATACTTGGGAACTTGTTGATTTACCAATTGGGAGGAAGACAATTGGATGTAAATGGGTTTTTAAAATAAAGAAAAATGACCAAGGAAATTTAACAAGATATAAAGCCAGACTTGTAGCAAAAGGCTTCTCACAAAAGTTTGGAGAAGACTATGATGAAGTATTTGCACCAGTCGTAAGATCTACTACCTTTAGGATAATGCTTTCGACAGCATCCACAAGAGGATATAAAGTGAAGCATTTTGATGTTAAAACAGCATTTTTAAATGGAAAAATTGAAGAAGAAATTTATATGAAGCAACCCGAAGGGTTTGAAAAAGGAGATAAAGTATGTAAACTAAAAAAGGGTTTATATGGTTTGAAACAAGCAGCAAGACAATGGAATAAAGAAGTGCACAGAATTTTCGAAGAAAATAATTATGTGCAGAGCAGTAGTGATCAATGCCTATATTATAAAACAGATCAAGAAAATACAAATTATGTATTAATTCATGTCGATGATATATTAATGGCAAGTAACAGTGAAGCGATGATGACCGAGTTACAAGTAAATATGAATAGGGAATTTGAATTAAAAGATTTGGGAGATGTTAAAATTTTCTTAGGCATTGAAATAGAAAAAGATGAATTTGGTAATTTTATGATAAATCAAGAAAAATATATTGATGAAGTTGTCATTAAATCTGGTTTGGAAGATTCAAAATTTTCAAAATATCCTTTGGATCCTGGATATGAAAAATTAGTTTGTACAGAAAAACTAGGAGACAACAAAGAGTATCAAAAATTAATTGGAATGCTTTTGTATATATCAACCAATACAAGACCTGATATATCCGCAAGTGTATCGATTCTTAGCCAGAAAATAAAAGATCCAACAAAAATTGACTTAAACGAAGTAAAAAGAATAATTAAATATTTGAAAGGAACAAAAAATCTGAAGTTGAGATTAAGTAATAAAGCTGGAAATTTAAGTCTTCATGGATATTCAGATGCAAATTGGGCTGAAAACAAAGTAAATCGAAAGTCTAATAGTGGATATATTTGTTTGGTGAATGGTGGTACAGTCAATTGGGCATGTAGAAGACAAGATTGTGTTTCTTTATCTTCAACAGAGGCTGAATATATTGCATTGGCAGAAACAGTAAAAGATATGATGTGGATTAGGAATATCTGCAAAGATTTTAAGATTGTTAATCAAGAACCAGTAAAAATTTATGAAGATAATCAAAGTTGCATTAAAATGACTGAAAATCTTAAATTCAGTAACAGAACAAAACATATTGACACGAAATATCACTTCATTAAGGATTTGAGAGAAAAGAAAGAAGTAATTGTAGAATATTGTTCAACAAATGATAACATAGCGGATATGTTAACAAAACCATTAACTGGTGAACGAATTAAAAAATTGAGAGAAGCAGCTAATCTACAAAATAAATATTCTTTTGAGGAGGAGTGTTGAATATTGTAAACCAAAACTGTAAGTATTAGGTCAATAACGAGTATAAACATGTTAATGCACGATTGTCAGTTTAATAGCTTACACCGAATACTTAGTAATAAAAAGATGATCAATTTATGTTTAATAGCTTGACAGAAGTCATAAAATAATTCATATGATTTATGATAGTCAAATAGTTGATGAAACTGTATGTAACATTCATGTAATTTTTGATATAAATAGAGCAGACAAATTTGAAATAAAGCTAGTTATAATTCAGACTCCAAACATTGAGTGAAGTATTCTTCTGTTTCAGTAGTATTTAGCTGTGTAGTCTATACTGCAAAAGAAGATTTATTTCGTCAGAAAAGAGCATATAACTCGAATAAAGGAAACTGATTGAGAATCAACATGAAAGAACAACATGAACTGCATTTACAAAGAATATGAATGATTGTTTCCTCATTCACCTTACAAAACCTGCAAGACTTATTATTAGATAAATTCAACTTAAAAAGAAAACTGTTGATACTCATGTGTCCTGTCAAAGCACCAATTAAGATACTAAGATCTCCTTGCTAAGATTTCCTTGTTAATCTAAGAACATCCGACAATTTATTTTTGTTTTTAGGACCAAGAAGTCTTTTCGCTGTCATGGCTCCTTCCTCGAAATTCCAGATACGAAAATGTTGTCGCACTAACCATTCTCGTATGTCTGACTTCAAAAAACCGAAATCATAATGCGTGGACTTGTCATGATTCTCCTTGTGTACTGCCTCTTTGGCTAATTGATCAGCTGCTTCATTACCTTCAATGCCACTATACCCAGGTATCCATTTTAGGATAACTTCATTGCCCTGACCATTGCTGGAAAGCATGATCTTGCAGTTTGTAGGATGAATTCAAACTCAAATCATTGCTGAACAGACCGATGCCAACACCACTTTCTGACTTTGATGCATCAGTGCATACAGACATACAATTATTATCCACCAAATCCCAAGATTCAGCAGCATTATCTTCTGATACAACTACCTTAGGGGCTGTTCACTTATTACGTAACGCGAAAAATGACTTTTTATACCCCCCCCCCCCCCCCCTCGTAACAAAATTTGTATGAAAAAAAAATTTCCTTGTTTGAACCGTAACAAAATCTTAGACCCCCCTCCCCCCTAAAAGCGTTACGTAATAAGTGAATGGCCCCTTAAAAGGTTTGTGAAAAACGTATTTTGACACTATATATGATCCAATTCTAAGGTAAATAAACTTACACTCCTTAGAAATCGATTTAATTCCATATGATCTGTAGAAATCCAGTCATTAACCCATAGTTTATTAACGTTCAATTTGGATGCACTTGTTTGAGCTGCAGCTTCGATTCTCACTCGAAGTGGAGGAGGCTCAAGAAATCTATCCAAAGCCAGTTTTGGAGTAGTTGTCCATGCACCGCAAATTGACAATTCTGCTTTTCTTTGCAGTTTCTCAATTTTCTGAGAGGCAAAAACTTGTTTCATTTTATGCCACCAAACAACACATCCATACATAATTCGTGGTAGAATAACTTACTCATACATCCAATACATCATATTGGGTTTTAATCCCCAGTTTTTACCAACAATTGATCTACAAGCCCAAAAGGACTTAATCATTTCACTTACAACGAAATATACATGTAAATTCCAGTTTAATTTGCTGTCTAAGTGGACACCAAGATATTTTCTTCATAACTGAATTCTATCCTTTGCCCATACATAACTGGAGGACGTAGATCACCTAATTTATACTTCGTAGTGAAAGGAATTACAATTGTTTTGGCTGGATTTACTGATAAACCAACTTTATAACAAAAACCTTCCACAATGTTAAAAGACCTTTGAAAAACATCTAACACTGTGTTTAATTGGCTGCTGGACACATAACTGCTCAATAAATATTATACACTAAACACTGAGCTAGCGTCCATAATATAAATCTAAGAATTATTAATGTTAAAAATAAAAAAAAACGTTAAAAAAACTTTTTAAAAAACACGCTTTTATCAAAAAGACTAAAAACCAAAAAGTTCAAAATAAAATAAGATCACACTTATAGCGAATCAGGATTTTAAAAATTTTCTTGTGACAATAAGAAATGTAACATGAAATTTTTTCAAAATATTGTGATTAGGTACAAGAACACAATGACTCTAACAGCGTGGGGCGTAATTTAAGTATAATTTCTTAGTTCAAATTTGTTCTTAAGTAAGAGAACGTCAAATCTCAAAGCCCTATTTTCAAAAAAATATCGATTTTAAATATATATTAGCATTTGTTATCATTTATAATACCTAGATATGTTTAAAAATGCAATTTAAAGCATTTTTCGTTTTTGATCATAGCAGGCTATTTTCAAAAAAATATCGATTTTATATCTAAATTAGCATTTGTTATCATTTATAATACCTAGATATGTTTTAAAAATGCAATTTAAAGCATTTTTGGTTTTGATCATAGTAGGCTATTTCAAAAAATATCGAATTTACATCTATATTAGCATTCTTTATCATTTATAATACCTAGATATGTTTTAAAATGCAATTTAAAGCATTTTTGGTTTTGATCATAGTAGGCTATTTTCAAAAAATATCGAATTTACATCTATATTAGCATTCTTTATCATTTATAATACCTAGATATGTTTTAAAATGCAATTTAAAGCATTTTTGGTTTTGATCATAGTAGGCTATTTCAAAAAATATCGAATTTACATCTATATTAGCATTCTTTATCATTTATAATACCTAGATATGTTTTAAAATGCAATTTAAAGCATTTTTGGTTTTTGATCATAGTAGGCTATTTTCAAAAAAATATTGAATTTACATCTATGTTAGCAATTGTTATCATTTATAATACCTAGATATGTTTTAAAATGCAATTTAAAGCATTTTTGGTTTTGATCATAGCAGGCTATTTTCAAAAAAATATCCAATTTACATCTATATTAGTATTTGTTATCACTTATAATACCTAGATATGTTTTAAAATGCAATTTAAAGCAATTTTGGTTTTTGATCATAGTAGGCTATTTTCAAAAAAATATTGAATTTACATCTATGTTAGTATTTGTTATGACTTATAATACCTAGATATGTTTTAAAATGCAATTTAAAGCATTTTTGGTTTTTGATCATAGTAGGCTATTTTCAAAAAAATATTGAATTTACATCTATGTTAGCAATTGTTATCATTTACTATACCTAGATATGTTTTAAAATGCAATTTAAAGCATTTTTGGTTTTTGATCATAGTAGGCTATTTTCAAAAAAATATTCAATTTACATCTATATTAGTATTTGTTATCATTTATAATACCTAGATATGTTTTAAAATGCAATTTAAAGCATTTTTGGTTTTGATCATAGCAGGCTATTTTTAAAAAAATATTGAATTTACATCTATATTAGCAATTGTTATCATTTATAATACCTAGATATGTTTTAAAATGCAATTTAAAGCATTTTTGGTTTTGATCATAGTAGGCTATTTTTAAAAAAAAATATTGAATTTACATCTATGTTAGCATTTGTTATGACTTATAATACCTAGATATGTTATAAAATGCAATTTAAAGCATTTTTGGTTTTTGATCATAGTAGGCTATTTTCAAAAAAATATTCAATTTACATCTATGTTAGCATTTAATATCATTTATAATACCAAGATATGTTTTAAAATGCAATTTAAAGCAATTTTGGTTTTGATAATAGTAGGCTATTTTTAAAAAAAAATATTGAATTTACATCTATATTAGCATTTGTTATCATTTATAATACCTAGATATGTTTTAAAATGCAATTTAAAGCATTTTTGGTTTTGATCATAGTAGGCTATTTTCAAAAAAATATCGAATTTACATCTATATTAGCATTTGTTATCTTTTATAATACCTAGATATGTTTTAAAATGCAATTTAAAGCATTTTTGGTTTTTGATCATAGCAGGCTATTTTCAAAAAGATATTGAATTTACATCTATATTAGCATTTGTTATCATTTATAATACCTAGATATGTTTTAAAATGCAATTTAAAGCATTTTTGGTTTTTGATCATAGTAGGCTATTTTCAAAAAAATATTGAATTTACATCTATATTAGCATTTGTTATCATTTATAATACCTAGATATGTTTTAAAATGCAATTTAAAGCATTTTTGGTTTTGATCATAGTAGGCTATTTTCAAAAAAATATCGAATTTACATCTATATTAGCATTTGTTATCATTTATAATACCTAGATATGTTTTAAAATGCAATTTAAAGCATTTTTAGTATTCGATCATAGTAGGCTATTTTTAAAAAAAAATATTGAATTTACATCTATATTAGCATTTTTTATCACTAACAATACCTAGATATATTTTAAAATGCAATTTAAAGCATTTTTGGTTTCGATCATAGTAGGCTATTTTCAAAAAATAATATCGATTTTATATCTTTATTAACATTCTTTATCATTAATAATTACTGAATATGTTTTAAAATGCAATTTAAAGCATTTTCAGTATTCGATCATAGTAGGCTATTTTTAAAAAAAAATATTGAATTTACATCTATATTAGTATTTGTTATCACTTATAATACCTAGATATGTTTTAAAATGCAATTTAAAGCATTTTTGGTTTTGATCATAGTAGGCTATTTTCAAAAAAATATCGATTTTATATCTATATTAGCATTCTTTATAATTTATAATACCAAGATATGTTTTAAAATGCAATTTAAAGCATTTTTGGTTTCGATCATAGTAGGCTATTTTCAAAAAAAAAATATCGAATTTACATCTATATTAGCATTCTTAATCATTTATAATTACTAGATATGTTTTAAAATGCAATTTAAAGCATTTTTGGTTTTGATCATAGTAGGCTATTTTCAAAGAAATATCGAATTTACATCTATATTAGCATTTGTTATCATTTATAATACCTAGATATGTTTTTTTAAAATGCAATTTAAAGCATTTTTGGTTTTTGATCATAGTAGGCTATTTTCAAAAAAATATTGAATTTACATCTATATTAGCATTTGTTATCATTTATAATACCTAGATATGTTTTTTTAAAATGCAATTTAAAGCATTTTTGGTTTTTGATCATAGTAGGCTATTTTCAAAAAAATATTGAATTTACATCTTTATTAGCATTTGTTATCATTTATAATACCTAGATATGTTTTAAAATGCAATTTAAAGCATTTTTGGTTTTTGATCATAGTAGGCTATTTTCAAAAAAATATTGAATTTACATCTATATTAGCATTTGTTATCATTTATAATACCTACATATGTTTTAAAATGCAATTTTAAGCATTTTTGGTTTTTGATCTTAGTAGGCTATTTTCAAAAAAATATCGAATTTAAATCTACATTAGCATTTGTTATCATTTATAATACCTAGATATGTTATAAAATGCAATTTAAAGCATTTTTGGTTTTTGATCATAGTAGGCTACATAAAAAAAAAATATTGAATTTACATCTATATTAGCATTCTTTATCATTTATAATACTTAGATATGTTTTAAAATGCAATTTAAAGCATTTTTGGTTTTTGATCATAGTAGGCTACATAAAAAAACAATATTGAATTTACATCTATATTAGCATTTTTTATCACTTATAATACCTAGATATATTTTAAAATGCAATTTAAAGCATTTTTGGTTTTTGATCATAGTAGGCTATTTTCAAAAAAATATCGAATTTCCATCTATATTAGCATTTGTTATCACTTTTAATACCTAGATATATTTTAAAATGCAATTTAAAGCATTTTTGGTTTTGATCATAGTAGGCTATTTTCAAAAAAATATCGAATTTCCATCTATATTAGCATTTGTTATCACTTATAATACCTAGATATATTTTAAAATGCGATTTAAAGCATTTTTGGTTTTTGATCATAGTAGGCTTTTTTCAAAAAAATATCGAATTTACATCTATATTAGCATTTGTTATGAATCTGTTGTATAGGATAGACAAAATAATTCTGCAGAATTCTACTCAACAGTTGCGCAACAATTCTGCAGAATAATTCTGATTACAACAGTACAATTCTGATGAATGTTGCGTGACATGGTTGTAACAAAAAAAAAATTAACCAGAATAATTCTGAAGAACTTATTTTTATTCTGCTGAATTATTCTCCAGAATTTTTTCCAAACATTTTTTTCCAAATTCTGCATAATTAAAAGTTCTGATAAATAACTTTATGAAAATCTGATTAATGACTTAGTTCTTGCACAATTACCCTGAGCGGCACACAAGCGTCATATGACTGTCATATGATTGTCATATGACAGCCGTCATCGTCATAAAGACGTCGTGAATGACGATCATATGATCGTCATATGATGATAAGACGTCATCACGACATCGTCTCGATTCGATTTTGATCTCATGTGATGGTCATTTGACGAAAAATTCGTCACTTGACGATCAAATGAAAACGTCAATTGATGGTCATATGATGATTAAATGACAAAATTGCTATGGCGAGACGACGAGCATAAACCGTGATATATATACTGAATATCGGTATATATGCTGAATTTTGACTGAAATAATTTTTTAAAAATTTATTGAAAAACTTGTTAATTTGTTTACAATATTTATAATATTTATTTTAAATTATAAACATAAGCCATAAGATTTAACATACAACATAATGAAAACTCTTGATGAACAGGTTTCTTTCAGAATTTTGGATTTTTTGTTGCCTTTTTCGCTTTTTGCGTCGAATAATGAATTTAAATCGTCCTCACTTACCTTTTTTACTCCTTTTTTAGAATTCTTTTTTCTTTTATTTTTTGACTTCTGATGATATGTCATTATGATACAGACGAGTTTTCATTGACGCAACAGCTAGTGGAAAATTTGCTGAAAATAAATTGTACTATACATTAAAAATGATAATTTATCATTAGATATTTTTAATTTTCTTACGTATTTCTGTCTTTAACACCACGATTTCTAATACATCCCAGGTTGATGACGGTTCACTTTTATAACGGATTGAAAATAATTTTCCTTCCTTCACTTCAACTTCTCGAACACAAATGAATAAAACAAAATTTTCACCCAAACTAGTGTATCGGGTAGTAACCCAATGCGGATTATATTCACACCGTACTATCAAAGTCTTATGGATAGACCAAGATTTGCCCATCATAAGTATGAATGTATGAAGCTTGATAAGTCAACTTCGCTCAGCATAAGTTTGAAGTTATAAAGCTATCGAGTCAGCTGAGCTTCGCTTAGTATAAGTTTGAAGGTATAAAGCTTGTCGAATATCCCAAACATTCGTATACTACATATATTATAAAAATCACAGTGAACTTTTGTTTTGAAAAATTCATAAGAAAGGAAAGTTTTTTGCTTTTTCTGAAGCAACGACTGTTCCTACCTTGCCTAAAAACAATACAGCTCTTGTATAGAGCAGCACGGATCAAATGTAAAAAACTAGAAGTCTTTACGATGTCTCGTTATTGAGATTTCTTGCTTGTTTGCTTGTTTGCTTGCTTACAGAAAGCGTATTTTGCGATTTTCTCAGCAATGCCACAACCAATTTAAAATCTGTTTTTTGAAAGTGATGTAAAATTTCAGGCATAAACTTTTCTTCTCGACCTTTCATAACCAATTTTGCTTTGTTTTCTCACAAAATGCGAAAAACTGATTTTTCAATCTGAACAAAACCAATTCACACGTGAAAACGGTGTGAATATAAAAAAATATTGATGTCAATGGTCCATAATGCTTCTCATCCTATGTAAAATCAAATATTTTAAACAAATAAAAAGGCGATAGTTTTTCCACTTATACAAAAAATATGTTTTTTATTGAGTTTCTTTTATGTTTTTTTTTTCTTCTTTTTTTCGTCATATTGACAACATTACAATATGAAAAGGCATTTTGACATGTATTATATAATTTCGACATTCTTTTCCGATAAAAAGACATCCAAAAAGGTAAAAAAAAATTCAAATCGATATCGATTCAATTTTTTAATATTTCTAGAATTCCATTTTGATAATCTACAATACAATACAATCGATGGCTTCACAGATCAATTGTGATCCATAGCCTCTCTTAGATTTGGTAATCTACATAAATGTGATTTACACTACGTTGCACATAAACATCCAAAATGGAATTCTTAAGCATCCAGATCCTCAATTCCAAACATTAAACATTTATCAAAAATTCAATTTTATTAATTTGAAATAGGTTTATATAAAAAAATTTGTTTCTACTTTTTCCGAGTACGATTTTACTTTAATAAATCTAAAAATATTCGATTGCTAATCTAAATCATTAAGTAATATTAATTAATTTATATCCAGACAGTTAAATAAAGAAACATCTTTCAAAAAGATTCAGAAAATTAAAACTTGGAGAGATAATTTAACAAAAATAATAATGATATAGAAATACTCTCAAAAAAAAAATTAACAAAATTAATAATGGAAGCATATTAGTGACAAATTAGTATCTTAAGTCACATAAGTATAATGAAAGAGAAAAGATTCAAAATTAAGTGCGTATTTTAAGTTAGATTTTTTGTGCATTTAAAACACATTTTGATTAGCAGTTTTTGCGCATTTTTTGAAACTTTAATTTAATATTCTTAAAAAGACGTTATATCAAAATTCAAAATATTTGAGTGCGTTTCATAATTTAAATTTTTCAATATCCGTTATAAATTTAAATTAAAAAATTTAATTTAATATTTTTGAAAGACATTATATCAAAATTCAAAATATTTGAGTGCGTTTCATAATTTAAATTTTTAATATCCGTTATAAATTTAAAGTTTTTAATTTAACTGAATTTAAATAACGCTCATAAAATTGTTCGAGGTAAAAATGCGCTTGGATCAGCCGTCGAACGGTGATCTTATTGCATGTTCATTTTTTTACATCTATCAATCGAACTAATTGATGTAGAATAGGAAGTAAAAAGGCAAATATGGTCAAGTATGATAGAAGAAAATAAATAATACAAAGATAAAATAAAAAGAATATAGAGCTTAAAAAAATATTTAGGCATACTGCAAAAAATTCAGTAGCCCAAATTGGACGGCACTAATTGTAAATAAAAAAAAAAATTAAATATAAATTAAGGTTTTTTCTTTTCATGGACGGACGATAGATAGTAAAGTTAAAAATTCATATTGATATAATATACAGGACGGTACTATTCATTTAGGTAGCTAGAGATTCAACAGGTGCATTTTTTTTTTTTTTTTTGATGGAGACGAAATGTTATGTGCTTGCGCGCAATGTACTTAAATTTAATTTGGTACTACAATTTGACTTTCCAGAAAAACATGTGAATTAATCCTTTATAATTATTATTATTATCATAAAATTATTAATATAATGCTTAACTACAATATATATCCAATAATGGATATATTCATATCAATGGTGGTGATTGTGTTTTGCGATGTGAACTGCTTTTATATCATTAATTTAAACTATCAGTAATTTTTTTGTGCTTCGGTATATTTTTACTATCTAAAAAATTGCATTATATCCATTTCGGTCGTCATACATATTACATTACTTTCGTCACCTTTTATGTTACACATAAATTGCATCTTAAAAACCTGAATTCCATTAAGTAATCAAAATCTCCGTACATGTCATTTAAACTTTTATACTATTTCACGTATATTTCTGTTTGCCTATTTATGTCTTCAATATGTGATAATTAAAGTCAGATGATATGAAACTTACTTATTGTCAAGCATTGGAAATTTTCGTAATATTTTTTTTGTTCCTTTTTCTTTTTTTAATTTTCACTTTCATAAGATAGATGAGATTTGAGAGAGATTTTGAATCAAGTGGATGTTATCGATCTTTTTCACTTATGTATAAAAAAAATTTATACTTCACCAAGATGTATATAAAAATAGAATTAATCATACTTCAGTGCTTTGCGTTTGTATTCGAACTTTTTTAACACTATTTTTTCGATCCATTCGAGGTGAATTACCAAAGCCCGGATTTTGGATACCAAAATCGTCACTACTAGGTTTCGGTCGAGGCTTCTTTAAACTCGACCTTAAAGGTCCACGTGATGTCATTATTGTTGAAACTGACCCGTCCGTAAATGTCGATCCATTTGATACTGATGTCATCGTTGTAGTCACTGAACCAATACTTCCCGCATATGGCTTGCCCGATGATGCTGTCATTGCAACTCCTCTATCTGTAATTAAAAATGACCAAATCAGGATATATAAACCAAATTTAAAGTTATCGAATAATTTACTATGATCACCCTCTCGATATCCAGGATTGTCATAGGTGATTGCACGTGATCCAGTGACGTCAGCCACTTCCGTTGGATCACCACCAGAGCGTCGTGAAAACATCAAGTCGTATAGACTAAGTACGCACAATATGATTGATAAAATTATGCAAATAATGACAAGATAGAAAGACACTCCTCGTGAGATAGTAAACGACACTCCTCCTCGTCGTTCGTCAGTTTGTATTGCAAACATGCCAGCCGATAGTATAGCAGCGATAGCTTAATTGAATGAATGAGAAATAAATTGATGAGGATATAAGTATGTCCTGATTTTGCGCGCGATCTTTTAATAGCACTACTTACTTCCTAAAATTGACAGGCTAAGTTTGATAACTACAAGTGAACTATATTTCATTACAATTTTTTCCCTCGATGAGATAGCAGCAATTTGAATAACAGAGAGAATGCAATAAATTCCCAGAAACATTGTACTGAAAACAATTGCTATTCCACTGGCTAACACAAATCTCGAAGGTTTAAAACGAGACGCAGTATCATGAGATCCGCACTTTTCTCGATTATATGCTAATTCTTTACACACTTTCCATGGACCAAAATATCCATGATCGGATGCAAATCCCCCATGCTCATCTCTAAAATAGCCCCAAACGGGCAAGAAAACAGCAGCACAACTTAATGCAAAGCAAATAAAACTTATTGTTGTGATTATTGCTATGAAAAATGAGGATGTAGCCATGCTTCCAGCATTTTACAATCAACAAACTTCACTTTAATTAAAAGAAGTTAACAATTATAACGAAAACATTAAAAAATTAGATCGAATTTAACAAAAAGTTGTTTTTAAAAATTTCTGTATTGGAATTTTGTTTCTATTAGCTACACCTTTACACAACATAAGACAATTTTGTAGTCTACGAGATCAATAATGCACCCGCATTGAAAAATCAATAATCTCAATGGATTTCCATGTGACCCATTTAAGACATTTTACTGCATTTACACGACTTTATCTTATGACGTTGCGGTTTATTGCATGCTACTTCCAATTTATGGCATTTAAGACATTCTAAATTTTTTATGTGCATTTTTTTCTCGTCATTGTCTTAACATGAACCGTCCGTCGGAAACTATACTTGGACATAAAATTTCATGACTATTGCAAAATCTTTTATTACTTAATGACTACATTTTACAATTACTCTTTATTAAAATCTAAATTTTTTAAATCGAAGAGTTTACTCTCCTCCTTCGCGGGCTTGCTTTCAAATGCTTTATGCTGCTTAAAAACATAGTCTGTTCTTACTGGTTTCTTTTCATTCATATCGAAAGCGAGCATGTTTGAATAGTCTTTGGATCTGTCGAAATAATAAACTTGATTATTAAATTGTCATTAATTGAACATATCAATGAACCTACGCTCGTTCCTTGTCTTCTTCATAGAAGATATTCCTTAATTTGATATTTGGTGGATCTTCCTTATATTTATGTTCCTTTAAAGGTGGAAATGCGGTGTAAATGTCATAAAATAAAGGTCGATCTTCCCATTTAAGAGCTCCAGCACGGATTAATCCACTAACTCTATTGAATAAAACAATTGATTAGCTATATTATAATCAATTAATAATGTTAAATTAAGCTCACCTTGTATAGATATTTCCAATTTTCTCGAGTCTACTTGATGCCATTCTAATGTTTACTAGGGGGTCATCAAGTGAATTAACTGCTATAAATGCATTTTCATCATTCTAGTAACTGCTATAATCGTTTTAACAACAAAAAGAGAACAGAATATTAATAATTTGCAAAAAACACTAGGATAATCAGTACATAATGGATTCTGATGATAGAGTATATGCAGCGGAACGCATATTAAAGAAGAGAATCAAAAAGGTGAGTAGAAAAAGAGTGTAAAAAATATTAAAAAGTGAAAATAACAAATATTATTTTCATTGTTGTTGTTTCTATAAAAAAAATTATAGCTTGGGAATTTTTCATGAGTGAATTTAATTATTATTTGATTTCAGGGAAAAGTTGAATATCGTGTAAAATGGAAAGGATGGAGTCAAAGACATAATACATGGGAGCCAGAAGAAAATATATTGGATGATAGGCTTATTGAAATTTTTAATAGATCTCAAAAGTATTCAACACCGAAGAAACAGACGGGAAAGAAGCGAATTATGGAAGATTCTGATTCAGATGATGGTGATACATCACAAGTTGAAATTGAAGAAAAAGAGCCACCAACAAAGAAGGAAAAAATTAATAAAGCTAAAGAAAAGGAGACTGAAAAGAAAGTTAGTGTTAAAATTGAGAAGAAGCAGGAAACAAATCAAAAGAAGGAAGAAGTTTCTAGTCCGAAAATAACTGTAACAATTCCCAGTAATAACAATATTATTAGCACACCGAAAGCATCACCAATTATAGCGATTCCAAAAATTATCATTCCTCCGGAAGTTGTTTCATCACAAAACGAAGATTCATCGCATAGTAGTAGCAGTGATGATCACCCAATTGCCGTATCTAAGGAATCAGATAAAGCGAAACGTAAAGCCGAGGTGCTATCTAAAGAGTCTGGTAAGATAGGAATTTATATCAAAAAGACAAACATAAATTCTCCTGCAGTAACACCAACATCCACAACAGTTAAGCCTTTATTGTCACCTAAAATTAAAATTGAAAAGAAATCACCAATCTCAACGCCAATTTTACCGCTACCTATAATAATAAAGGAAGAGGAGCAAGACTCTTCTTCCACAACAACAGAAACTTCCGTTTCGTCCGTTTCAGTAACAAATGAACCAATTATTGAAAAGAAGGAACAAGCAGAAAATACTGAAAGTATTTCAATTAAAGTCGAGGAGCCTAAAACTCCCGAAAAATCACCCACGTTGGATGAATCAACAAAAACATCAAGCAGCAAGGAGAACAAATTTACAAATTTGATGACAAATAGTAATATGAAATTGTTAACATCACCAAAATCAGCACATCCAAAATTATGGCTACCCAAAACTCAGTCGACATCCGATCAAGTTTTTATCACAGACGTAACAGTAAATTTAGAGACAGTAACGATTCGTGAATGCAAAACTGAACGGGGATTTTTCAAGTCACGACAAGAAATGGAAAGGAATCTCACAACAGCACAATAATTACTTTTTCGAATGACTTTTATGTTTTTTTTTTAAATTATTTTATGATTTCTTTACGATTATTTGCCAGTACAACAAATTAATTAGTAATATGTATATATCCTTCTTATTTTTTTAATTTGTATCATTTAAGAGCCTTATTTATAAGAGTATTCATTCTTCAATCTTAATTTATTGCTTTGTTTAAGTGGAACTGCTTAAATTTGTCCATATTTAAGTGTCTTTATGAATTTGGGGCTCGTCGAAAATGAATTCAGCGTCAGCGACCGCATGTTTTTTGCATTTTTTTTTCTTTAACTCCTAAAGATACACAAAATATAAAAATGAGGGATTATAGAACTTAATAAGACCTTCATTTGGATATAGATAATGTTATCCTTAACATCCCCGTTGAATTTTTTTCTTGATTATTTTGACGAGCCCAATTTATAATTTTTTATTGTGTCAAACATTATAAGCCAGTAGCTTTGAGCAATAAAACTAAGTTTCCTTTTTTGTTCCAACTGTCTACTGGAACTATTGATGACTATAATAATGATTCGTTCAAAATTTGTACCTTTCAACAATAAAATTAATAACATTAACGCATAAAATCTGTGTTTAGAACTATAGATGATTATGAATAATAAAAAAGTTGACTTCTTTTAATTCCAATGAATCATAATGTGTTTTCCCTAAGCATGAATCATAAAAAAAATAATTTATGAATAGTGATTCTCAAACAATGAAGCAGAATTAAAATTGAAAGGAAAATTTGTGCGTCGCAAGATTTTCCCAGAATGACCAAATATTTCATTCATGCTCAAAAAAGGCTTCATGCTTAATTTATTCATTTTAACCTTAACTGGTTGTGTTCAAAATTTACATTCATAACTTAAATTGCAGAAATAAACTATAAATTTGACTATTCATTTAATTCAATTTAATTAGCTATAAAATAAATTTCCAAATAATGTTCCTTCAGACGATTTTTAACTATGCCCAGTGTGTGACATGTCTTTATTTGCTTAGGAAGATTATTACAGCTAGTGAAGGCTCTGATATAAAAGTTTTCTCGATTTCTTGTCGATTGACTTTGTATGTTACTGTTTTGCATTGATTTTAAATACTTTCAGACACGAATTTATCTCACAGATTATTGAGACAGGCAGCAATTCAATGCTTTAAAAATATCTTTTCCAGCAAACCAACTTTTCCTGGGAATAATACGCAAGGCTTTCCTTTAAAGGACTTCGAGGGATTCAATTAGACCTAGTAACAATACAGACCATATCGTGCTCATACAAACAAAATGTGATTGCACATGGACATAATAAAGTTCTGTTGCTGCTTTATAAATGGTGTAATTTTCTTTTTAATTTCATCTACGTGACATTTAATAGATAGTGTCTCATCAATTGACAAATAAAGAATTTTAAACTTTCTGACCTTTAAATGTTATATTTGATGCTCAAGTGATAGAGCGTTGGCCTTACGTGCCAAAGGTCCTGGGTTCAATCCCAGGCCAAGTCAAGTTTTTGAAGCTCTTTTTTTCGTGTGATGGGTGTAGTTTTGAGGACTTCGGCACCTAACGTGTCTCCTTTGCTAGGTTTACTAGGATATACTGCATAAACTATGATTTTCCAAAGGAAGTAAATGAACATATCCATTGTATTGGCAATAGGGGAAAAGCTTCAAGCTTTTTTGACAAGTCACAAGATGATGCGGTTGTCAGTGAATTAACATACATATTAAAGCAAGCAAATAAAGTTGTTGCTGGAATCTTTAGCGATGATTCTGGTGCATGTGGATGAACTTATCAAATTGATCAATTAGGAAGCTCAAATATTCATCCAGCTACTGTTGCAAATCAAAAAGAATGAAATGAATGGTAGAAATTCATTATACTTTAATTATTATTTTAATATTCAAAAAAGACAAGATTCTAGCAAGTATGTAGAAAATTATTACAAATGGAACATTAATAAGATTCTAAAACTGAACGTTAGTGATCTGTGAATTAGATGAGAATGCAATAGATAGCTGGTGAAAGGATTTGAGAAACGAGATTATCAGCAACTGAGAACAGTCATTCGATTATGTACTTGTTTTTCAAGTAGCTCATAAGAACCGAATAACAAATTTCGAGCCATACAAATAATTCGGAAGTTATTAATCTCAAAATTGAGCTTTGATTGCATTGATGGACACATAAGAAATTAGTTTATAGAGTTCCAATGAAGCTTACTTTTGACATTCAAGATATTAAAGATGACATGTTACTAAATGTATATCAATTTTGGCTCGACCTGCTGCATGTTTAAAAAATTGTGGATCCTAGTGCTGATGTCTAAAACAGCCAAAAAAAATTATAAGTTTTTTAACCACATCATGTTGTTAATATTTTTTGTTACTACCAATCTATGGGTCACTAAATGTGTGTTTTAACAAAAGTAGGTAGCCTTGAAAATATTCCCGAAATATTTAAAAACGGCATAAGTCATACATGACAGCAATGTTTGAATAAAGATAAAGAGGAGGAAAAGAGAAGACAGAATAACAAACAAAATACGCATGTGCTGAATAAAAGTATGGGTATGTCATATTGCTACCTATCTGTTATCATCACATGGTCATTGAGAATGTGTGAGTTGGAATTTTCTTGGTAAGAGAGAATTAAGAATTCGTTGGAACCGGACCGAGAGAGAAAATTTTCATAGTTGGTCGGAGTAGAGAAAAAAAATAAAATTTTCTTTAATTAAAGTAAATTAAATTCAATTGGCTGTTGATAGTCTGTCGGAGTACTTCGATATTTTTCACAGTTACTGAAGTTTAAAAAGGGTGCTGTTTGGAACTGCCATTATTTTTGATTCTTAAATTTTCTGTCAATCGATTTTTTGACTTATCGAATTTACTAATAAAATTTTAAGAAAAGGAAAGAGCTTTAAGACATGATACGAAGTGTAATTAAGAGTCCTAAAAATATTGGTAAGATCCGGAAGTAAATTTATTTCTTCAAATTTTATATTATTTTTATTGACATTCACAGCATCAGAAGTTCGATGCCTTTACAGCTCATACGTAAAGAACGAGCCCTCAGCACCATGTGCAAGGACAGATATTCCTGGTCCAAAATCAAAAGCCTTGTTAGACAATTTGAATAAATTGCAAGTAAGTTGTAAACTTTTCGTGCTGCCCCATATATTTGACCTATTAATTTTTGCTGACGAGAACGAATAAGTTTCAGAATATTACAATTTAATATCGATTGAGTGTGACGAAAAAATATTCTACGTAGACTACTAAAAAACATGGACAGTCTAATTTTAGAAAGATTTTATTACCAAAACTTATCTTGTGTAAACTGATAGACATGCTGTGAGAGACTTAAAGCTTGTCAAAACTCGTTGTTTTGATATTTTTTGTCGTATCACATGTTAATCTAATCTGAATTACTTGTGATAAAAATGCACAATAAAGCTGCTCAGTGTATTTGCACCTTTTTCTGGCATTATGAAACCTTTGGCACATAATGCAGCTCCCCTTAGTAGCTTATTATTATTATCAATAGCATATAAATTATTAAATTGATGAAAATTGCATCTTGAAAGATTTTAATCAGCATAATGTATTTCCTCCTTATAGCAAGCAAATTCTGTTCAATTCTTCGCAGACTATGATAAAAGTATTGGAAATTATCTCGTCGATGTTGACGGCAATGAATTACTTGGTAAGTACGCGACTTTGAAAATATTTATATATGTGCTAATTGAATCACGTTTTGTGATTATCCAACAGATATTTACACTCAAATATCAAGCATGCCGTTAGGATACAATCATCCTGATGTATTGAAAGTCTTTAAAGATGATCATAATATTCGCACATTAATTAATAGACCTGCTTTGGGTGTCTTCCCTGGAGCTGATTGGCTTGATAAACTTGAGAATGTTCTCATGCCTGTTGCACCAAAAGGACTTCCATGTATAACAACAATGATGTGTGGATCATGCAGTAATGAGAATGCATTTAAGAACATGTTTTTGTGGTACAGAAGGATCCAACGTGGTGAAAATGTTGAATTTACTGAAGCTGAAAAGCAGAGTTGCATGATTAATCAGGTACCAGGATCTCCAAATCTCTCTATTTTATCATTTATGGGAGGCTTTCATGGAAGAACAATTGGATCTTTATCAACTACTCATTCAAAGTACATTCACAAGATTGATGTACCAGCATTAGATTGGCCAATTGCACCATTCCCAAAATATAAATATCCATTGGAAGAAAATGTAAATGAAAATAAGCAGGAAGATGCTCGTTGCTTAGCAGAAGTCGAGTCATTGATTGAAAAATGGAATAAAAAGAATCATCATGTTGCAGGTATTATAGTCGAACCGATTCAAGCTGAAGGTGGTGACAATGAAGGATCACCAGAATTTTTCCAAGGCTTACAACAACTTGCTAAAAGAAATGGCGTTGCATTATTGATTGATGAAGTACAGACTGGTGGTGGTCCAACTGGAAAATTCTGGTGTCATGAACATTTTAATCTTGACGGTCCACCTGATATTGTTACATTCTCAAAGAAGATGCAACTTGGTGGATATTATCACAAGCTTGATTTCAGACCACAACAAGAATACAGAATCTTTAATACGTGGTGTGGAGATCCTGGCAAAGTAGTCATTCTTGAATCTATATTGAATGTGATAAAACGTGACAACCTTCTTGATAATGTTAATAAAGCTGGAAATATTTTGAAACAAGGATTATTCCAAGCTGAAAAGGAATTTCCAAGCATCGTTAATTCAACTCGTGGTCGTGGTACATTCTTAGCCATTAATGCAAAAGATGGAAGTACTCGGGACACTATAGTTAAGAAATTGAAACAGAAGGGCATTCAATCTGGAGGATGTGGAGACGTATGAATTACTTTAACTAATTTATTTAAATTGACTCTAATTGAACATATCCATTTATATTTATAGGTTTCAATAAGATTCCGACCAGCATTGATTTTCGAGCCAAAACATGCTAACATCTTCTTAGACAAATTCCGAGAGATTTTAAAGGAGCTTTAAATGACATGATTAAGACAAAGAATAGCTAAAAGCCAATGATATTCACATACAGCTCTTCCAAACACAACAATATGCACGACGAGATATTCTCAAAAAAATTTTTCTTTTTTTTTTATTTTAAAATTATATAATTTATATTTTGAGCATGTCTGTAGGCAGAGATAAATTCTAAGATAACTAATGTTCAAAAGTATCAGCACAAGGATGATTCAAGCATGTTTTCCTGAATTCATTTTATTAATAATTTTAATTTCAAAATTTTATCGGTATTTTAGTGAAAATTCAGGAAAATGTTCTTTAATAGATGTGATCGCAAAGCATTTACGGTCTTCCATAGCATTTATCTTTATGTGGTGTTCAATGTTAGCAAAATTCGCAAATAAATATACACATTTTTTTGGCAATAAAATATAGTTAATCAACAAGTGGTTGGTCGCAAAGTAAACAGCTTATTTATGTTTTTTATCATGTTTATTTCTATCAAGAAAAATTCAAATTATTCATCATCATACTTATTATCAATCTACATCTTAAAGTGTTCTTTAATTTTTTTATAATATAAAATTTGCCAGTTTTAAATATTTATTCATCCGATGGAAAGGAAACGATTTTGTGGAGGAAAAAAGTACCATAATTAAATATATAATAATAATAGTAAGTATTAGAAATTATGTATAAAGAATGATGAAGATATAAGAAATTGAGAAGAAACTTTCAAAACCAAATCACTTAATTTCTTATGCTTTCATTGTTTTTTTTATTGTTGCTGATTCTGTGAGACAAAATTGTTTCCTGTAAGTGCTGTTGTTCCTACATAAAGCTCTTAGCGATTAATTTAACTGTAAAGATCTTCATCAACATCATTACTGGGTTGAGAAGGTTGATCAGGATTTCCTGAGCCTCCACCTGAACCGCTTGATGGGAATCTGAAATTGTTTCCAAACCCTCTTGATTGCTGTAAGGTTTGAGCAAACATCTCATATTTGCGAATGTCATTATCAGATACTGAACGACGAGCGAACTTCATAGCTTCCTCAAAGTGAGCTCTTGTGATTTCTGGAACTGGGTCATCTTCGTCCATCTGTTGAGTCATTAAACATTAATTAACTGAATAAAAGTTTTCCCATAATATAATACTTACATCCATTGCAACATTCGTGTTATCACTTCGTTGCTTTTCACGGCGGATTTCAGTTTCAATGGCTTGTCGAATAGCTAATTTACAAGCACGCTGACAAATTTCTGTCAAGTCAGCACCAGAAAATCCTACAAATCATAATTAAAATTAATCATAAAATAAAGTTTATTATGAAAATAATTTTTTACTTACCGTTTGTGACTTTCGCAATGTATCCCAAATCAACCTCCTTCGCAACAGGGCTCTTTCTCAAATTAGCTTGTAAAATAGCAATACGAGATTTATCATCAGGCAATGGAATATAGATGAGTTGATCTAAACGTCCTGGACGTAAAATTGCTGAGTCAATAATGTCGGGTCTGTTTGTAGCTCCAATTATGAAAACATTCTTTTTAGCTCCCATACCGTCCATTTCTGTAAGAATTTGATTGATAACACGATCAGCAGCACCGCCAGCATCACCAGAACTTCCACCACGAGATTTTGCGATACTGTCCAATTCATCAAAGAAGAGAACACAAGGTGCAGCTGAACGAGCCTTATCGAAAATGTCACGAACATTTGCTTCTGATTCACCAAACCACATTGTAAGCAATTCAGGTCCTTTAACGGAGATGAAATTTGCTTGACATTCATTGGCAATAGCCTTAGCCAAGAGAGTTTTACCACAACCAGGTGGACCATAGAACAAAACTCCTCGTGATGGTTGCATACCAAACTTTAAGAATTTATCTGGATGTTCAACTGGATATTGAACCAATTCTTGTAATTCACGCTTGACATTCTCCAAACCTCCAATATCAGTCCATGTTGTAGTTGGAGTCTCTACGACAGTTTCACGTAATGCTGATGGACTAGACTTAGTCATAGCATAACGGAAGTTATCCATAGTAACAGCCAATGAGTTTAAGACATCAGCATCAATTTGATCATCTTCTAAATCAATCAAGTCCATTTTCTCACGAATTTGTTGAAGTGCAGCTTCTGAACACAATGAAGCTAAATCAGCTCCAACATGTCCATGTGATTCGGCAGCAATTTGTTCCAAATCAACATCTTCAGCTAACTTCATATTTTTAGTATGAATTCTTAAAACTTCTAATCTACCAGTTGCGTCTGGAATGCCTATATCAATTTCACGATCAAAACGTCCAAATCGACGAAGTGCTGCATCAATGGAATTTGGTCGATTTGTTGCAGCAATGACAATAACATGAGAGCTTTTCTTCATTCCGTCCATCAATGTCAAAAGCTGAGAAACAATACGACGTTCAACTTCACCATGAGTCTTTTCTCGCTTTGGTGCAATAGCATCCAATTCATCAATGAAAATAATAGCAGGAGAATTCTTATCGGCCTCTTCGAATGCCTTTCGTAAATTCGATTCTGATTCACCAGCCAATTTTGACATAATTTCTGGACCATTGATGAGGAAAAAGAATGCTCCAGTTTCATTTGCTACAGCACGAGCAATTAAAGTCTTTCCAGTTCCAGGTGGTCCATAAAGAAGAATACCACGGGGTGGTTTAACGCCAATAGCTTTAAATAATGATGGATGTCTCAATGGTAATTCAACCATTTCTTTGATTTGAGCCAATTGCTTACGGCATCCACCAATATCGTCATAACCGACAGCATTCAATGCTTCTTCTTCTTCCTATAGACAGGGTAAACGCGAGAAAAAGAAAGATGTAAAAATATGCATGTCATTGAACTTGAAAATTGAAACATGATAATGGGCAAATCTAAAGATAGCGCCAGCCATTTCATGCCTCAATTTAACGATTAACAGTGTGCATAGTTTAAGGTTTTTAAGCCTTAAAAAGTTCTTATTTCATATCTCTCATATTGGAGAAGGCAAGCGTTGTCTCAATATAAATACTTACTTCACGCTTAATTGGGTCGCCTTCATTATGGATAACAGTATCAGGTGCAACGATACAGTATGGTTCAGGATCAGTTCCAACAACTTTAAATTCGACAGCTCTCATACCACCACGAACAATGAATGTATCGTCTTTATGGATTGGACGATAAGCTTCGAGAAAATAGGGCTTTAAGTAAACATCAAAGAGATTTCTGAAATTGCGAAATTAATATTTGTTTTTGCGTTAAAATAAATTGAGATTAGTCATGAAAATGTTTAACGTACCCGCTAAGTCCTTCGACGGTATCATCGATCGGCAAAATATGGACACGTTTGCCGTATTTGACATCCGGACAAGATTGAATAGAAACAATATCTGACAAACGGACTCGCAAGTTATTCCTAACAACCCTATTCATACGAATCTTCTCATTTGGACAGTTTTCATCAGAAAGTACGATGCAAACAGTTTCTTTACGTCGCTTGCCTTTCAGCAAAACTGTGTCACCTCTAAATAGCTGTAATTCGTCCATTTTGGCTTGAGACAAACATACAATTGAATTATCATCATTTACAGCATCATCGACCAATAAACGATTTGGTTTCGACTTTTGTTTCAAGATAGCGGTTGCTAAATCTTCACCCCTGTTGATGTAATTAAATAAATTGTGAAATAAATTTTTGTCAGAAAAAAAGCGAACAAAGATGGAAAATTCTTTTTCGAAAATTTGCATTTTTAACGAAAATTTACAATTAAATAATATATTTAACTTACTGCTTTGAATCAGCCATACTATTGTTTGATTATTTGAACGTTTAGCGCGATAAAATACCTAGTAAATTAATTAAATAATCGATTTTTTTAACAGAAGGACGTGTAACCCACAAATGACTTGCAAATTGTTTTCTATTTGCGTACTTTTTTTCCCCTCGAAATACTCGTATTTTTGTTTCCCTTCCAAATTCAAATAAACAAAGACAGTTATGTTTTTTTTAAGTTCTTTAACGATGATTTTAAGGTTTTCCTGCTCAATATATATTTCTTTCACTTTGTTGATACAAAAGAAATATTCAGATAAGAACTTCTTTGAATGCATCAAATTTTGAAAAGAATTTCCATTAAAACACTCAACTAAAATTATGATTGCAAGCTATGAACTGCTTTGAACTTTTATTTTGATTGGTCACTTGACTATAAACATACAAGTCGATAAAGCAGTTCTATATTGAATCAACTTGATGATAATCATAAATTCCTTACCGTGTTTTTTCGTTATAAGTTACTCATCATTACTAAGCTACTAGTGTGAGCTAGTGTTATAAAGCTGTGTTAAAAGTCGAAATCTATAATGCCATTTTATATCATTGAGGTCTGGCGAAAATGATTTACTTGTACGAAGAAAAAGTACATGTACCTCGACGTTTTAATGAGGATTTTTGCTTAACGGGAAAAAATAATTTGAATTTTTCACTAACCCTATCATAAAAAACATCAAAAATTAAATCTCAAAATTCTTAATTATTCAATCATTAATCCCAAATATTATGATTTGAATACGAAAAGTAGATGATACATTAGCTGTTCTGACTATTTTAAGAGCTTTTACATCATTATTGGATGATATTTTCGTGACTTTTCAAATTTCATTTTCGATTTTGTTTGTAAACAAACAAATTACAACCGAAAAAATTCAAAAAAGTTAAAACCGTTAAAAAATACATTCACACCGTACCATCAAAAGTCTAATGGATAGACCAAGATTTGCTCAGCATAAGTTTGAAGGGTGGGTGTGAAGTACGGCCGAGACCCATATCGACACAGTTCAAAAGTTATACCTAATTTATGTCATAATTATGTCAGCTACAAAAACACTTAGTTTGAATTTTGTCACCCTCGGGAACACTATGAAACAGTATAGCTGATTTTGGTCCAAATCTCGGCCATACTTCACACTTATTTGAACCACATTTTCTCGTAAATGTTAAAATATTATTAAAAAGTAATTAATCCTGAATTATGTCGCTATTTTGTCAAGTGTTTTAAAATAAAGAATTTGTTTTTTGGTTTCCACAGTGAACAGTATGAACAAAATTCAGATGGGGTAGTCGAAATTTTAAATTTCGATTTTTTTTTAAGCTATGCATTACAAAAAGTAATATTGGTATGTGATTTATGTCAGAATTATGTCAATTCAAATAAAACATCCAAAAATTTTTTTTGAGCAAAGAACCAAGTAGACAATACATTTTCAATTTTGGACTAGGGACGACCTTAGTCAAAATCAATTTGTCACTTTTTTCTTCGAGGGTTTATCCAAATGGATTGAAACTTTGCATAAATATTCTAATGCTTAAAACAAACACAAATAAAACATTCTAAAATTTTTTGAGCAAATAACCAAGAAGGAAATACATTTTCAATTATGGACTAGGGGCGACCCTAGTCAAAATCAATTTGTCACTTTTTTCTTCGAGGGTTTATCCAAATGGATTGAAACTTTGCATAAATATTCAAGTGCTTAAAACAAATACAAATAAAACATCCTAAAATTTTTTGAGCTAAGAACCAAGGAGGAAATACATTTTCAATTTTGGACTAGCGGCGACCCTAGTCAAAATCAATTTGTCACTTTTTTCTTCGAGGGTTTATCCAAATGGATTGAAACTTTGCATAAATATTCAAGTGCTTAAAACAAATACAAATGAAACATCCATCCTAAAATTTGAGCAAAGAACCAAGAAGGAAATACATTTGCAATTTTGGACTAGGGGCGACCCTAGTCAAAATCAATTTTGTCACTTTTTTCTTCGAGGGTTTATCCAAATGAATTACAACTTTGCATAAATATTCTAATGCTTAAAACAAACACAAATAAAACATTCTAAAATTTTTTGAGCAAATAACCAAGAAGGAAATACATTTTCAATTATGGACTAGGGGCGACCCTAGTCAAAATCAATTTGTCACTTTTTTCTTCGAGGGTTTATCCAAATGGATTGAAACTTTGCATAAATATTCAAGTGCTTAAAACAAATACAAATAAAACATCCTAAAATTTTTTGAGCTAAGAACCAAGGAGGAAATACATTTTCAATTTTGGACTAGCGGCGACCCTAGTCAAAATCAATTTGTCACTTTTTTCTTCGAAGGTTTATCCAAATGGATTGAAACTTTGCATAAATATTCAAGTGCTTAAAACAAATACAAATAAAACATCCTAAAATTTTTTGAGCAAAGAACCAAGGAGGAAATACATTTTCAATTTTGGACTAGCGGCGACCCTAGTCAAAATCAATTTGTCACTTTTTTCTTCGAGGGTTTATCCAAATGGATTGAAACTTTGCATAAATATTCAAGTGCTTAAAACAAATACAAATGAAACATCCATCCTAAAATTTGAGCAAAGAACCAAGAAGGAAATACATTTGCAATTTTGGACTAGGGGCGACCCTAGTCAAAATCAAGTTGTCACTTTTTTCTTCGAGGGTTTATCCAAATGGATTGAAACTTTGCATAAATATTCAAGTGCTTAAAACAAATACAAATAAAACATCCTAAAATTTTTTGAGCAAAGAACCAAGGAGGAAATACATTTTCAATTTTGGACTAGCGGCGACCCTAGTCAAAATCAATTTTCTCACTTTTTCCTTCGAAGATTTATCTAAATGGATTGAAACTTTGCATAAATATTCAAGTGCTTAAAACAAATACAAATAAAATATCATAAAATTTTTTTGAGCATAGAACCAAGTAGGAAATACATTTTCAATTTTGGACTAGGGGCGACCCTAGTCAAAATCAATTCGTCACTTTTTTCTTCGAGGGTTTATCCAAATGGATTGAAACTTTCAAATAAATCATCCAAAAATTTTTTTGAGCAAAGAACCAAGAAGGAAATACATTTTTAATTTTGGACTAGGGGCGACCCTAGTCAAAATCAATTTTCTCACTTTTTTCCTCGAGGGTAAATCCAAATGGATTGAAACTTTGCATAAACATTCAAGTGCTTAATACAAATACAAATAAAGAATCCTAAAATTTTTTGAGCAAAGAACCAAGAAGGAAATACATTTTCAATTTTGGACTTGGGGCGACCCTAGTCAAAATCAATTTTCTCACTTTTTTCTTCGAGGGTAAATCCAAATTGAAACTTTGCTAAAAGATTCTAATGCTTAAGACAAATACAAATAAAACATCCTAAAATTTTTTTGAGCATAGAACCAAGTAGGAAATACATTTTCAATTTTGGACTAGGGGCGACCCTAGTCAAAATCAATTTGTCACTTTTTTCTTCGAGGGTTTATCCAAATGGATTGAAACTTTGCATAAATATTCAAGTGCTTAAAACAAATACAAAAAAAACATCCAAAAATTTGAGCAAAGAAGAATTAATATTCAAATGCTTAAAACAAATACAAATAAAACATCCTTAAATTTTTTTGAGCAAAGAACCAAGAAGGAAATACATTTTCAATTCTGGACTGGGGGCGACCCTAGTCAAAATCAATTTTCTCACTTTTTTCTTCGAGGGTTTATCCAAATTGATTGAAACTTTGCATAAATATTCTTATGCTAAAAAACAAATATATATAAAACATCTTAAAATTTGAGCAACGAACCAAGGAGGAAATACATTTTCAATTTTGTACTAGGGGCGACCCTAGTCAAAATCAATTTTCTCACTTTTTTCTTCGAGGGTTTATCCAAATGGATTTAAACTTTGCATAAATATTCTTATGCTTAAAACAAATACAAATAAAACATCCTAAAATTTTTTGAGCAAAGAACCAAGTAAGAAATACATTTTCAATTCTGGACTGGGGGCGACCCTAGTCAAAATCAATTTTCTCACTTTTTTCTTCGAGGGTTTATCCAAATGGATTGAAACTTTGCATAAATATTCAAGTGCTAACAACAAATACAAATAAAACATCTTAAAATTTGAGCAAAGAACCAAGATTTAAATACATTTTTAATTTTAGACTAGCGGTGACCCTAGTCAAAATCAATTTTCTCACTTTTTTCTTCGAGGGTTTATCCAAATGGATTGAAACTTTGCAAAATTATTCTGATGCTTAAAACAAATACAAATAAAACATCCTAAAATTTTTTGAGCAAAGATCCAAGTAGGAAATACATTTTCAATTTTAGACTAGCGGTGACCCTAGTCAAAATCAATTTTCTCACTTTTTTCTTCGAGGGTTTATCCAAATGGATTGAAACTTTGCATTAATATTCTGGTGCTTAAAACAAATACATAAAACATTCTAAAATTTGAACAAAGAACCAAGTAGGAAATACATTTTTAATTTTGGACTAGGGGCGACCCTAGTTTAAATCAATTTGTCACTTTTTTCTTCGAGGGTTTATCCAAATGGATTGAAACTTTGCATAAATATTCAAGTGCTTAAAACAAATACAAATAAAACATCCCAAAATTTTTTGAGCAAAGAACCAAGAAGGAAATACATTTTTAAATTTGGACTAGGGGCGACCCTAGTCAAAATCAATTTTGTCACTTTTGTCTTCGAGGGTTTATCCAAATGGATTGAAATTTTGCATAAATATTCAAATGCTTAAAACAAATACAAATAAAACATTCTAAAATTTGAGCAAAGAACCAAGTAGGAAATACATTTTTAATTTTGGACTAGGGGCGACCCTAGTCAAAATCAATTTTGTCACTTTTGTCTTCGAGGGTTTATCCAAATGGATTGAAACTTTGCATAAATATTTTAATGCTTAAAACAAATACAAATAAAACATCCTAAAATTTTTTTGAGCAAAGAACCAAGTAAGAAATACATTTTCAATTCTGGACTGGGGGCGACCCTAGTCAAAATCAATTTCTCACTTTTTTCTTCGAGGGTTTATCCAAATGGATTGAAACTTTGCATAAATATTCAAGTGCTAACAACAAATACA